AGGATTGTGTGTTATGCATCTGGAAGAAAAAGAGGGACAGAGAGATTGCATGTGCATGTGTTACAGGCTAGAAAAGAGAGAGTGAGTATATGCATATGTTATGGATGTGCATTATATCTTTCATTGCCTAGAAGGGGCTCGGAATTAAGATATTTAGATGTGCAGGACAAGTTCAGCTCCTTCAAGAGCATGGGTTCACAATGCTTTAATCTTAAACTGTAGGAGTAAACTTCAGTCTCATGATTATCAGAAAGAAAATAGGTAAAAACCAGTCATGTGTTACCTTTTCCGGAAAGTGGAAAGTACATCTGTTCTGGGGTTACATACCTGAAATGTCATATTACGGGAAGTAGGAGCCCATTCTTCTGCTATTCTCCTTTCAAGAGAAAGCGGATCAGCATTCGGTGGGACCCGGATATCAAAGCCTGCCTCAGCCTCAGATGGTTGCAGGTTCATAATAAAACCCTTGAATACAACAAAAAGTTTGGAAATCACCTTCTAAAGATAAAAGAATCAGACCATGACAGCCCTAATTAAATTGAGAGAGATTTCCTAAAGGACAAATCTTCAAATTACAAATAGGCATATCTAAGATCAGGTAGATCAAAAGAAAAACAAAAGATATTGGAGCAAAAGAATTATGAACACAAAAATTTAAACAATGATCATTAACAAAAGTCAAATTTTTCCAAGTGCAGTTAGCATAAGGCTTTGGCTTCACAATAAGAAGTAAGCTGCACCCACCTGAATGCAGTTTTGGTACTGGAAACCCCTACAATGGCCTAAAAATCTATATTGGCCCTTAACTATGAAATTTGAAGTTCCAAAAATGGCGCAGATCTGGTGGGTCTGTGAACACTTAAAAATGGATAGTTTGAGTAATGTGTCATGAGAAGTTATTTTCGGGGCTTGAAATCATTTTATTTCTTTCAAATCCATAACTGTCAAGGTAAATGTTATCAATTTGATCATTTTACAGTTCTGTGTCAGCAATTTCTGGCAAGAATTGAGTTGCAGCCCTATGCCAACATTTTCCATTGTTTTTCTATTTTCCGTCTAGTCGGTTCTGAACAACCAATTTTCCAAGCCAACTTGCAATTTAAGGCTCAGCTTCAATGGGCAAAAAATTTAATGAAGAGCGGTATTTGAAATTAGGGAAAACATTCTCTTTACTCAGAGTGACAGGCATTTTCATGGCATTTCTTAGTAATCAGGATTGCGAAAGGCATCACAAGGGAATAGTGGAGGGACCAAGCTGCACCGTTTTTCACTCCTAAATGAGTGAAGAAAGAAAACAGCGATATTTCTTATGAACAGACCATCCAAATGACACCTAGGTTCATAGGCTAAATACAAAAAGCAATAGTTACAGCAATCTAAAGTTCAGAGTGAAATCTCCAGAAAATAAGGTGGAGCTATAGAAACAGCAAATGTTTTTCCCAGGACTGTGATTTTGAACAGATTTTCATTATACTTAAGTTTATAAAGTGTGTCGGGTCAAAAAGACATGCAGACACACAACTAAATGGCATTTTATGTACGTTGGAGCATCTTCACATACGACCGTCAATAAACAAACAGATAAGGTCTAGAGGTTAGTTTTTGACAACAAATCAACAGTAAAAATAAATAGCAAAATGCCAATTCAACTACTAAATGGATACTCATCAATGCTGAAGAATCTTCCCTATAGTGATTGGAGCAGTAACTGTCACTCCATATATCCTTAACCTTCTTAACATCCTCCTCTTATCAACAAAGGAAAATCTATATTCTCCGTTCACCACGCACTAAAGAACACAGAAGATATTCCCTAAAGTGATTGGAGCGACAACTGTCACTCCGTACACCCAATTATATCCTTCACCTTCTTAACATTCTCCTCTGATCAAAAAGGAAAATCTATATTCTCCATTCACAACACACTAAAGAATGAATTTCTGAAAAGATAACCCAAGATAGACTCACATTGAGAGCTCTAGAAGGACTAACCATCCCTTTTCCATCAGGATAAATAACTCGCAGTTTCCCTCTCATCTTTACTCTTTACCAGTCCTTAGTTTAGCATATGTTCATTAAAAAATTCACATCCAGGCATGATAGCTCTTCTTCAAAATTTCAAAAACAACAGTCACACCCAGGTCTCCCCTATTATGTCTATGGAATAACTTTCTGAGAAACTAGATACTTTTTCCACTAGATCCATTTCTCAACCTCTACAAAATGCCCCTAAATAAATAAAGAAAAATGCTGCATCTATGTAAGAAATCCCACATTATTGCTCGTATGAGGAAAATCAGTGTTTGAAAACACAGCCAAGTTGACTCAGACTTAGTCAAGCCGGCCGAGTTACTTGGCCTCGGCAAGGTGCTGAAGCGAGTGTCTCGGACAAAATGGGGGGAGGGTGACAGCACAGAGTAAGTACTGCACAAACTCGCCCGAGTATTTTACAACTCGAGACAACTTGTAATGACTAGCACAAGTTATACAATACTCGGATGAGTCGCTTCAGTCCTCACCCAAGTACCATATAAGTCTCTCTATCTAGAAGGCCCTCTGATTTTTATCTCATTATCTCCTAAAATGTGTCTTTTGTCAGCTCTCTCTCTCTCTCTCTCATGATGAGAAAGAAAGCAAGGGTGGAGAAAACGACAAGGCGCATTTGGCCCAATGATGAGAGAGAGAGAGTCTTGAGAAACCTCTTCTTCTTCCAGCTTCACATTTGTCCTGACTTCCCTCCATAAAACCTCTCTTTTTTTCTCTGCTTTTTTCTCATTGTTGCAGGCTTGCTAACATCATCAAGGTCTTCTTCATCCATGGCAGAAACCCTAGAAACCGCTGCCCATTTGTGGACTCCCGCAAGACACGGGCAAATCTAAGCAACTCGGGAAAGATAGGTGCCAAGTCCCAAGCCCAAGCCATGTTCTCGAACATTGAACAAAACAATTCAACTTTAGTTACCAAAACTCCCTAGAACCAAATGTCAACTACAAGCTTCCACATGAACAAGTCTCTATATTCAAATATTATACGTCACAACAGCAAAAGCAAAATAGCAAACATCTAGTGCCTTTATGAGATAAACAATCCTTTTCACTACGGGCCAAAGTGGCAACATTTTCATTATTGTGCATTCTTCAACGAATTATTTGCATTTCTAGTCCTGCCTTTTCCGGCATAGGGTACTGTGAAGTCAATAACACAATGACCTTCACAGTGGATGTAACCAATGTCCTCCCATCATACATATTGAAGCAATATGATATCATGTCCACATAGCTTTTGTGAAAAATTGATCAACTCCTTTCATCTTGTGTTCCTGTAATTACCAAGGTGATCAATTATGGAAAGGCAGTCATTTATCAAAATGGACTTTTCAAATTCCATATGTCCCCGGTGATTTTAATGCCAAGAATGTAACAGGCTACACTAATTTTCATTTTGAATGCAAAAGTAAACCTTGCCTTTCAAGCCCATTAGATTCTCAAGACCATTACTGGCAAGCATATGTCAGATACCTATAAGCTTAAGTATACAATATCGATCTCCTGGATATTACCTCATACGCAATGATCCTTGGAATCCATCAAGAGACCACTTGACCCAAAAAAAGATGAAATAACTAAAACCATTGAATCACTTATGTGGTTTCCAGAAGTTTTAATACTTTCTTTTCGAGCCCCTCTTCATAAAAACCTTCAAGATTAGTTACTCTCCTTCACCATTCAGAACGATGTCTTCAAGTCTATCTAATGCAATCATGATATGCAACTGTATGTCACATAAGTTCATAACACAAGTGAACGTAAAATTATAAACTTAGCAAATTAATATATTGCTCAATATCATTAGTTCCCGCATAGGGTATCCATTGGCCATAATTCTAGCGTTTTACCAGTGCAACGAACTCCCAACTTTGTGTTTATGCTGTAGAGTGCTCAAGGGGGCCAGATCTCATGCATCTTTTCTTCTCTTTTCTTTTTTCTTTTTTATTCAATGTTATAACGTGCATCATTTCTAAGAATCAATTTGATCTCTTCTTACGTAGTGTCAACACTACCTACTCAAAATTAAAAGAATAACACATCATTGCATAATCTGCAAATAGAAATGTCACATAAATTTGCAAGACGTATATTCTTAGTGCTCTGTCTAAGACCCCCAATTTATATATCATCTCCATTGACATTCATTAAACAAAAATGATGTAGTTACCATTTCTGCCATTTCGATCCAAAAAAATACAAGGAAAAGCTTAAGAAGATAAGCGCCTATGATCCCAAATTTGAGATGCAAAAGCAGGAACAAAAAACCAACAGTAACAGATCCAATACTTTGGTATAACTTGAAAAGTGATCAACAACTTTCATCAAAAAATGGATTTGTGGCATACATCATCTAAAAGGAATCAGGTTTTGAGGTTGGCAACAAAAGGTAAATCACAATGACTCAACAGCAGCTCTAGTTATTCACATAACTGATGAAGCAAAAACCAATTAAAACAAACTATCCACTAATAAGACCTTAAAAAGCAATTGGCAATAAAGCAAAACAAGGAAAATAGTCGTGTGGGAATGAAGAAAGTATCCCAACAACACAAAACTCTAGCTTTTAGGTTAGTGAAAAGAAAATCACAGACCAACCATATATCTCACTCTAATTGTCGAATCCAGTCAAAGCAACATTTTGGGATTCAGAGGAGACTCGGAAAACATGGTTAGTTAAAGATTGAACCCCATATCTGAAGTTGATAAGAAGTACAACTACCAACAATACCTCTAGTTCTTCCATTCTAACGAAAGCCACAATCTAACAGAAGGAAATACAATATCCAGGATATCTAACCATTTTGACAAGTTAGCAAACTGGTGGTCATCACTGGT